GCCTCATTCATGACGGCCTCTCACCTCTCTGCTGTATGGACAGAACACACCCTTTAACTCCTAATCTCCTCACTAGATTTCCTCCCTTCCTGCCCCACTCAAGGGTCGCCATTCAAGGCGCTACTCAAATTTGACATCAGCTATCCCAGCTTCTAGAGTCTACACCTAAAAATAATGCTTGTATCTTTACCTATCCAGTCTTCTTTTTGTCCTGTCTCCGAAAAGGCTGAGATTCTTACTTTTATTTTATTTATTTTTTAAGATTTTATTTATTTGAGAGAGAGTGAGAGGGAGAGAGTACGAGAGGGGGGAGGATCGGAGGGAGAAGCAGACTCCTCGCTGAGCGGGAAGCCCAGTGCAGGGCTCGATCCCGGGACCCTGGGATCATGACCTGACCCAAAGGCAGATGCTTAACCGACTGAGCCACCCAGGCACCCTGAGATTCCTACTTTTAAAATGCTAACTCATTGATACGTACCTCAGATATTTATCTAATATATGTGTGCATGTATCTTCCCTGCCAGATTATACATTCCTTGAAGGAAACCAGTATGTTCGGTGTTCCCCACAGGACATTTTTTTTAAAAACTAGGCTCCACACCCAGCATGGAGCCGAATGTGGGGACTCGAACTCACAACCCTGAGATCAAGACCTGAGCTGAGATCAAGAGTCAGACACTTAACCAACTGAACCACCCAGGCACAACCCCACAGAACATCTTTAAGCATATTATCAATCAGTATTTGCTAGGAACATTAATCCTGTAAGGAAAACAAACCCCACTAATTATTACTTCTCCTTCTTCTCCTGTTTTGAATCTCTCCACTCCTGGTGATACCTTATCCTTTAAAATCCACTGTTCCCCATCCTGAAAAGCAGCAGCTTTTTTTCCCCCCGTATTTTCTCACACCCTCAAACAAGAATTCAATATTTTTTCCTTGCTCCCTTAAGGAAACTTCCAGGACTGCATGAACTTTCTTATCACCCACTCACTCTTTAAGCCTTACAATTACGTTTTTGTCCCGATGACCAATTTTTCCTTCTGAGCTCCTTTTCTTCCTCTGGCCTCAAATGAGGAACACTTGAGGTGTTCCTCAAGCTTCCACCCTTGGCTCCCCTCTTTGCTTTTCTACAAGGACTCCCTCCTTGGCAGTCTCGTCCACTCCTGAGGCTTCAGCTGTAACCTCCTGATGCGAGAGTCCTAAACCAAGACCTAGAGCTGCATTTTCTATTGCCACAAATCTCACATACCCCAACCTCTACAAACCTCGATCTCCTGTTTCACAGCCCACAGACAAACAGAACTTAATCCCGGCAACACATGAATTCTATCTTCTTCCTGAATTCTTTATTTATATTTTTGGTAGGAACAGGTCCCAGTTACAGGCTTAAAATTTACCCTCACCTTCTCTGCAGTCCCTTGGGGCTTCCAGATATGGTCATTGGTCCATCACTCACAATGCCCAGTACCTTCCATCCACCCGTGTCTGGCATTCAAGGCTCTGGGGCCCAGGCTCCAACTTATCCCTCAGCCTTATCACCTAGGATCTCCTAATACTTCAACTCCAGGCAAAGTATTTGTCAGTGGCTCTCTCCTCAGAGCGTTGACAGGTACCACTGCTGGTAGCAGGGATGGTCTCGTCCTGCCCTTGACACACATCCCAGAATCACTTCCGTGTCAGAGACGGTAATACCACACAGCCATTCAAACTGATGGCACAGCCATGTCACAAACTGAATAAGGTTTGTGAGATAACATTACACGACAGAAGGAAGATATATTTACAAACAGTTTTTATAATTATTCATATGAAAAAAAAACGTATGAGGGAATACATCCAAATGACAAAAAACAGTTATATTAGAGAGGTGGAATTGTGAATGAGGTTTTTCATTTTCCTAGATTCTAAATTTTACCTAGTGTGGTTTTTAAAATACATTTTTACTTTAGGGGCGCCTGGGTGGCTCAGTCAGTTAAGCAGCCGACTCCTGATTTGAGCTCAGGTGACGATCTCAGGGTCACGGGATCGAGCCCTGCATCAGGCTCCATGCTCAGCGGGGAGTCTGCTTGAGATTCTCTCTCCCTCTCCCCCTCCCCCCACCTGCACGTACTCTAAAATAAATAAATCTTTAAATAAGATAAAATGAAATACCTTTTTATTTTAGAATAGTTTTAGACTTACAGATATCTTGAGAAGATGGTATAAAGAGTTCCTGGATACCCTACACCCCATTTCCTTTATTATTATTATTATTTTTTTTTTAAAGACTTTATTTATTTCTTTGACACAGCAAGAGAGCACAAGCAGGGGGAACAGGAGAGGGAGAGGGAGAATCGGGCTCCCCGCTGAGCAGGGAGCCCGATGTGGGACTCGATCCCATGACCCTGGGATCATGAGCTGAGCCGAAGGCAGACGCTTAACGACTGAGCCACCCAGGTGCCCCCGTTTCCTTTATTGTTAACACCTTACATTAGTATGATACTTTTGTCACAACTAAATGAGCCCAGTAGTTTCATGTAGTTTCTAAAACTTAAAAGATAAAGACTTTAGTTTGGTAAAACCAAATAAACAACATAAATCGAGGAAAACGTCATTCTTTCTATCACCTCTAACTCCGCGTTAGCAACCTGATCTTTATTATTTTTATTATTACTCCGGTTTCGTCTTGGCATGGATTGTTGGCTACAAACTGGGACAAATTTTGCTTTAGTCTCATTTGCCAGATGTTTGTGCATGTAGTTCACATAGTTGAAACTTCATTGCTGGCTAAAGGTTCTGGAAAGTGTTTTCTTGAACATAAAGTTCCACAGACATTTTTTTTTTCCTAAGTAGGCTCCATGCTGAGCATGGAGCCCAGCATGGGGATTGAACTCATGACCCTGAGATCAAGAGCTGAGATCAAGAGTAAGATGCTTAACCAACTGAGCCACCCAGCCGCCCCAAGTTCCATGAATGTTTTTAAGCCCTGTGAACCATCCCCACACCTAGAATCTCACATTGGATGCCCTGCTTCGCCAGCGAGTCCATAAGCTCTTTGGGGGTCTTCTCTCCTCCCTGCCCCACCCCCTGCTTTTTCTTACATCCAAGAACACCCAGTCCAGGTTTGGTCTCAGAACATACACTCAACAAATGCCACTTGTAATAAATTGTAGAAGTAGGACAGGCTCTACTAGATGGGCTATGGATTTTAAGTTCCTAAAAGTAAAGGATTCTCTATGTAATTTGTCTGAGATGTCAGACTTTGACTTTGCACATGAGGACGCTGCAGTGTTTTCCCTCTGCATCATTCAAAGTGGATTTTAGTTTTCAAATAATAAAAAGCACTCACACACCAAATGTTACATATTCTGAAGAACATATCTTCAGCTTGCTTTTAATGTTGGAGCTCTAGAAAATGGACTATGGGTTTTTTGTTTTTTGTTTTTTAAACATGTCTCCCCTGGTGAGTTTTCTTTATTCTAACTGCCAAGTTGGTTTCAAAGAATCCTCTGGATATCTAGCAGTTAGAACAAATCCTATAGATTATGCAAAGAAATAACGAACTGAAGTAGCTAGGTACAGTCCTACTTTTCATAGGAATATGACAATTTCTTTTACAACAGAACTGGAAAAAAAATCTCAAATAGGTTTCTTCCCCTTTTATTCATTTACAGATCTATTTTCATCTTTTAGTCTTTACTTCAAATAGCCAGGCCTATGACACTAAAATTAAACAGTTTCTGAACAGTGTCCTAATCTTAACTGGTTTTGGAAAATCCCTAAAAGCAAGCTAAACAAACAATGTAGCATTCTTGCATCTTCATGAGAGTCTATATCGTGTTACAAAACATGCGAAGAGCAAAACTTGGTTAAACAAATTGAGGAGTGCAAGAAGAGAAAATTTCAGACTTTGGGGTTACTACAATTGTTTAAATTTAGTTGGTGCCCAAGTCAATCATTAGATTGTAATTCCAAGGAAAATGCTAAGGATTACTAAATAAGACTATGATATTCACAACAGGTGACTGAAGAGCCCCAAACCAAAGTTAAAAGCAGCATCACTGACAACTTTCAAGAAAGCTGTGTACAATTAAAACTGACTGTTCTATCAACTACAGTATAATTTTGCTTTTTTTTGTAAAAGTGATCTGACTATCCAAGAGTATCACTATTAATGATTTATGACAGACTGATGTTTGACAAGTAAGCCTAAACAGAACTTTCAATTTGTCTCACTAAAAAAATTACCTTGGTGTTATGGAACAGGCAGGACCAAACTAGCCCATCTTGAGGCAAGACATGCTTTTGAGACATTTGACACTCTAAATATAGTTCAGCAGATGTGAAGCGTTGTGCAATTCTGCTAATGAGCTTTGAGCGAGTAGAAAGAAATGGGCTGGACAGTACAAGAAGTAACGGAAGCACAAGGTGACCCAAGGAAGCTTCGGGAAGGATGTACCTCAAAAGGTGAACAATGGAATGACAGGCAATTCTCAAGTTTTTTGGGGTACATTTTTGTCCTTTCTGAAGTTTAAAATAACAAACATTCTTTTATAATCAGAAAACAGTACCGGGATTTGCTTTTTGGGGAAAGACAAAAAAAAAATAAGGTGTTACTGAAAAAAGGAAAAGTTTTATAAAAACATTACAAAAATGTTATTAGACTATCCAGTTTTGTTGTGGCTTAAAAAAAGCTTCCCATTCACAGCAGACCAGCTCCATCTGAAAGAAAGCAGGCTCTGCTCTTTCATTCACTAACACTGATGATCTGTGTTTAGCCTACAGACAAATATTTTTTTTCTGAAAAACGGATTAAAGCTACCATAGTAACCGGGAGTAACAGACGTTGTGTGGATGTGCTCTATCTACCGGGCTGTCTAAAGATCATTTCCAGACTTATTTTATTACCTAAAAATCCTCTTCTTTCTTTTCAAAGCTCTGGAAGAGAATTTCTAAAAAAAATTCTAGGAGGATTAGCAAGAGCCTAAGGGTGAAAATATAACTGAAAGGAGTCTTACCTGATGTTGCACATCAGAATCTGTTGGGCAGTTCAACGTAATGGGATCACATTCCTCAGCTGGGGGGTGGAAAAAGACACAAGCTTGATAAAGAACACGCTCTGCGGTGTAAGGCCTACCATTAGGATGCAATGTTATGTGCTCCCGAGACATCTAGTAAAATCAGGAAGGCCTCAGGTCTCCTGCTCTCTCTGCATCCATGTGTAAGGCCCCTAAGGTACACCCCACTGCCTGGGAGGGCACCAGCCACAGTCCCCACTCACCCCTGAGTAAAGAGTCTCAGCTCCCTGCCAGTCCACAGAATTACTCAGATGAGCCAGTCACATCCTCCCTGCGGAACCAGGGTGCTCCATCCTCTTGCCACATTTACCACCTGCAGTCCCTGGTTGTTCACGCTGTTCCCGAGGGCAACCCTCTGTGACCTTGCATGGCTTGCAGCGTCCCCCTCCCCCAGGCCGTGAGGATAAGTGACTCATAAACTGCTGTCCATCTCCTTTGTCCAGTATCAGGTATGTGTGGCCGTCTGCCTAACCCCAGGGCAGGATCCGTCCCCCACCAGCCGGGTGAACAGGAGGTGGTCTGACAACTGGCCTCACAGACAGCATGGCCCACCCACTATGGAAGACGTTCGGTCAGACTGAACCAGTGTCACTGGCCCAGTGAGGGCTGCCTGGGACAGAACTGCCAGTTGCCAGACATGCACGTCGGTGTTTGTCCTCTCTTCCCACCTAAAATGTCCTCTCTTCCCACCTAAATGTCCCCAAGATGAAAACTGCTGTTCACTGTCTGTCCCCCAGTGTGATGTGTTGTCGGGTTCCACTGATGCTTGGCAGGCAAGCTTGGAGGATTCCAGCTCTAAGTGCCCTGACCGGTCCCTACTTAAGTCCCAGCTAGCAAGGGCTGGGCTCGAGCTCTCCGGGGGCTGTGTCCAGCCTGGTGGCCATCACGGTACTTGTGGCAGGTGCACAAGGACTGCGATCGTACATGGCCAGGATGGCTGTGGGGATGGCCCTTTGGGAGGTCTGCGGAAAGCAATGAGATCACCAGCCCAGGGAGAGTGAAACATGGCTCCCTGCGTGTGGTTGTCTGGGCACAAAAGGCGACCTTGTCTGTCTCCTCTGCTGTCGCTGCCCTTGCTGCTGGCACACATGCTCTCCTGACCCCCGAGGGCATCAAGGTACACATCCATGGCAGCCCGTGGCCCAGGAACTGGGGGGAATGGGAAAGGAGTGTTTGGCATGTGGCTGTTGTGCCAATGCCACGCCCCCAAGCCCGTGCCCCCGGGCTTAGCGCAGCTGCTTACAGTGGCGTGCCAAAGGACCAATCCTGCCATCGTGGGCCTGACGGACCCTACGTGACCCATAAGCAGTAGGACCTTCCTGGAGGTGGACCCCCAGGCAGATTGACTGGCCTTCCCTATGAGGTGGGCCATCAGCCTCCCCAGCCTGTCCCCATAAACCCCCAGAAAGTCTGCACCGTGAATGATCAGAAAGTGAACGCTGAGGCTTTATGCAGGTAGAAATAAAAATATTCCACGGGAATCCGCAGAGAAAGCATAAAAAACAAAGGAACGGCAGGGCCATAGCCAAAAGCCCAGTTTCAGCCCGTTGCCACTGGGCCACTGGGCTACCTGTGCCTGATACAATGAAGATCCGGATCCTCAGTTACAGGGGAAACCCATGGTCCCCCTGCGGCATGGCGAGGGGTTAGTTCGAGCCTGACGCAAGCCTGGGGTCCTGAAACCACATGAAAGCAACCACTACCGTATGGCAGGCAGCCGTGGCAGGCCCCAACCCCCATATTACTGATCTGAGGCTCTGTGGAGGAGGAAATGTAGAAATATGAGCAGAGCAGAGGATTCCCCCACCTACCCAGAGTTTATCTGGTGACACAAAAAGAAAAGGGCAGGGGAAATGAAAGAAAGATGGAAAGAAACCTGGATACTGGGGAGGACATAAAAGGAAAAAAAGAACTGAAAACAGAGGTCCAGAGTTTGACCCAATGGCAAATCCAACATTTACTACAGTCATTTACACAGCCCACAGATGAAAGAGTGCTGGATGGGTGGCTCAGTTGGTTGAGCATCCAACTCTTGATTTCAGCCCAGGTTGCGATCTCGGGGTTGTGAGATCGAGCCCGGTGTCAGGCTCCACGCTGAGCGTGGAGTCTGCTTGAGATTCTCTCCCTCTGCCCCTCTCCCACTGCATGTGTATACACACATTTAAAAAAAAAAATTAAAGTGCTGGATGCCTCTGTGCCTGATGACGTAAGTTCTGAATTAGCTTTAATATCTGCTAAAATGCATGAATTGGCAAAACCCTCACGGACTTAATCAGTACTGGGGCTCCAATTACAGTTACACCTGGAGATGCCACTAAAGGTCAACCCGGTGTCCCCCCCTCCCGTAATCCTAGGAGAGCTCCTGAATGTAAAATAGAGGACAGGCATGCCTCACCCTGACCATGAGAACTACCGTTTTGCCTCAATATCCCATGGTCACAGCACCCATTGCCCTAGAGCATCCCACAGGGGGCATGGCTACTCTGACCCCATAAATTAATATTCAATCTTTACAGTTAGAAGGTGACTTGACAAAATGAGACCCCATAGACCTCTTAGTTCAAATAACTAATATGGCCCAATGTAAATTAAACAGGACCTTCAAAAATCAAAACTTACTATTTAAGACCTGATGAGTGAAAGGCTGATTATCTACTGCTTCTCCATTTAACAGTTGAATATGGCCTCTTCTTAAACATGGAAGAAAATGAATGGCACCTCAAAGTGCATTACTGCAACCTTAATGCAGTGGTCCCATCCTTTAAAGCCCCTTACCTGATGCCCAGTATTATTGAAATTACTGACTCTGTCCTATCAGCCACTAGTAAATATGTGGCTATTAGAGATTTGGCTAATATGTTCTGTCCGGTGTCTGCTTTAGCAGCCTCTCATTGTAGTGTGCCTTCATCTGCAAAGGCACCTATACAGGGTGACCAGGCTACCCACGGGGTACCTAACAACCTCGTCCTACCACACAGCGTTTGCAGGCAAGATCTTAACTACACCCAACCTTCTCCAGGATCACAGGTATGACATTACATGGATGACATCCTCCTCTGAGGACATCCATTTGACAGAGTCATCCAAGCCATCGAAATATCCATAAAAGAGCTCACAGAAAGGGAACGGCACATTACCCCCCAACACAGTGCACCGCCCTGCCAACTTGGTTAAACTCCTAAGACTCTTCCGGTAAACTAAGGGCTGTTCCATCTCTGATGCTGCCAATAAAGAGTTATGGAGCCTCTCAGTACCTGCAAGTTAAGTCCAACATCTTTTAGTCCTTTTGGAACTCTGGAGGCAACACATTCCCCCATTTACATACTTTACTTACTCTCATTGCTACAGTTACTTGCAAAGTGGTCCACCGTAAATTTGGCTCCCTCCAACAAAAGTCTACAACAAGCATTCTCAGAGACCCCTTCATTGCCAGGGCTTCTTTTCTTTTTTTTAAAGATTTTATTTATTTATTTGAGAGAGAGAGAATGAGAGATAGAGAGCACGAGAGGGAAGAGGGTCAGAGGGAGAAGCAGACTCCCTGCTGAGCAGGGAGCCCGATGCGGGACTCGATCCCGGGACTCCAGGATCATGACCTGAGCTGAAGGCAGTCGCTTGACCAACTTGAGCCACCCAGGCGCCCCATTGCCAGGGTTTCAACAGCCTCTTCATATTCCTCCTGAAGTCCCCAGACCACCCATGATAGCCATAAGTTGTCCACAGGCTTCTGATGCAAGAAACTGCCCTCCTAGGCCCTTCTCTCTCTATACCATTAGAACAGCGATTGCTGGCTGCATGCTAAGCTCTTCTGGAAATAGAGGCTCTCGCTGTGAGCCTCCGTGCCCTGCTGCGCATTATGCCGTAGGTCACAGAAACAGAACCGCACAAGCTTGACATGGCTACTGAGGCCTTGCCACTGAGTGGAGCAAACCCCGGACCCTCTGGCATATTCCACCCACGGGAGGGGGCGTCCTCCACTATCCTCAGTCTCTTACCAGATGCCATGATGCTGGAAGAGGTTACTCTTCTCAGATGCCTGGGTTACCTGGGGCGGGGGGGGGGGAGGGGAGTCCCTTCAGATCAACTGAGTGAATAGCAGTGGGAGTTTGTAGACACTAAAGATGAGATCACCACCAACATACACGATGGAGCTCATGGATAGTTGTGCTTTCCAGCCCTTCCAGGATGTCCCTGATAACAGATGGGATTCAAGGGTCCGCACAATTGGCCAAACTTCAGGCTGTCATCTTAGTGCCGGCTGCCCTGGTCAACAAATGGTCCCATCAGCAGCATCATTATTTTATTATTATTGTTATTATTATTATTTATTTATTTATTTATTTATTTTTTACAAACTCTTGAACCATTGCCTAAGACTTGCCCACTCTGGGGTAAAGAGCTCTGGGAATCTCTTGCCTCACAGATGAACAGAATATAATTCAAAGTAACAGATGTCTCTACCTAGAGTAAGACGACCACATAAGGCCTCGCGAGAACACTCTCTATCCCCTTGGAGCTCCAGACATGACTGGATAGGGACCAAGATGTTCATTTCACTTCTCAAATACACAATGCCTGGCTCTGAAAGGAGCCATTCGATGCAACTTCCATCTACTCTATAGGCAACAGGTTCCATCGGAAGGTAGAATGGGCTCCTCACAGAATTCCTGTTTTAGTTACAAAGTGCAAACAGAACCCCTGCCTGGTGTCACTCCTGCCAGAGGCATTGGTTATATCGATTCATGCTCTCTGGGGCCATGCCCTCACTGCCCCCACGCCACACCACATGGCCCATTCTCTCCTGGTCAAGTGCCTGTTTTGCTATTTAGGGAGGCCCTTCTCTACCCTGTAAGTCTCAATCGTCACTAAGATTTAAATTGATGTCAAGATACCGCGGAGTCCACTGGGGTATAAGATCTAAAATTGAGACTCAGTATTATGTGCTGTCTTGACAGCTGGTAAAATCAGGAGGACCTCGAACGGCCTCAAACCGCACTCTGCT